AATCAAATATATTTGATTGCAATATTATAGAACATCTTGAGGTGAGATGATCATTTCTACGACGCCTTCGTGACCTTGAAAGTGTCCACTTAATAACTAAGACCAAATGAGGTTTATATACCAGTGCGTGTGTGTGTGTGTGTGTGTGAGAATTAGAATTATGATTTACAGTTGATGGTTAGAGATTAGGAAATAGATCTAGGGTTTTCATCACGAGTCGACATCAGCTATAATACCAAAACTCTATTTAACTAAATGAATAAATGAATTTCGAGCCAAAATTCAAGATCTATTTATCTTATACGTGATTGATTTGTCACATCTTTGATAAAATTTTCATTTGTAAAATATTAATCAATTATCACAAACTTGATTATTCTTTCGTTTTCACATCAACCATTCACTATTCTCATTCTCTTTTCATTAATCTTCAAAACGATCCAATCAGTTATAAGATCACATGTCTTAGATTTTAGCACGAAATTCATTCATCTATTTGGTTAAAGAGCATTTTGACATTTCAGCTGATGTGAACTCGTGATGAAAATCCCCAAAATCTAATTCCTAACCGCTAACCATCAACTGTAAATCATAATTCTAATTCCCCCCACACACACACACGCATGGGTTTATATCCTTCCTTTAGTCCTAGTTATTAAGTGGATACTCTCAAGGTCACTCTGACGTCACTTAAAGGTCATGCATATATTATAGTCTCATCCTTTTAAACATCTTAACCCTCTACCACCAGATATTTCACTTTCGGTTCATGTTATATACTACTTATATCTATCAACATTAGTTGTATATACTTATAGTGTCGGTAATTATGTTAAGCCCATATACCTTATTCTAGCTTTCGGACAGCCTATTCCATTCATTCTACTTGAGTCACATTGTGACCTTGTTAATAATTCGCTTATCAATCTTCCCTATCTTTATATGAGAGTGTAGGTGTGTGTACACTTCTTATCCCGTTACTCATCACATGTCTATAACTTGGTTTTGTGTAACTATAATTATTGATTAACGCTTGGTTAAATGAGAGTTGGCTTACCCGCCATCTATACTTTGCGTTGTTTCGTTTCGCTCTATTCCATTCGCTTCATATATAAAGTTGTTATAACGTGTGATCGATAATAGGCTGCTCTCTAATAGGCGGATCACACGTTATAACAACTGGCGACGGGGTGAAAAAAAAAGCCAAGACAATCAGCATACAGAATTCTCGCCGGTGTCCTTCAACGACATTGATTGTTAATTAATCATACAGTATTTCTCATAACCGAGCTGATTCAGAAAATGGCTATCTCTTCCGATCAATTACAGTTGCTATTCGAGCGACAGCAGCAGCGTTTCAAAAATAGCCAATTGAATGTTTTAAACAATTTACGCACACGGCTGCTAAATCATACATGTTTTAGAGATGTAACAGAAGTTGATAAATTAATTTCTAATTTGCAGACCGAGCTGGAAAATGACTGCAGAACGTATAAATATTTCGACAAAAGCCTCTATGAATCATTGATGAGCAGTAATGTAAGCGAAGCAGTAGCAGTCATTGATGATCCACCCAGTGATCCAGAAATGTCCATTTCAGAAACATGCCCTGTCGTGGGTTCAAATCCCATTGCCTCCGAAACACCATGTGCAAACACTGAATTGTCCAGCTCACAGACAGACGACGTCTTATTAAATGCTCATGAAATTATTGCAGTACCCGCCCACGAAGAGACGAAAGATGAATCAAGCAGCATAATGAAGACAGTTGCATCAAATGGAGCTCATCATTCCAGAACAAACGTTCCTGATGAATCTACTTATTGGAGTTCCCTAGTTGCTTTATCAAATATGAGTTATCTTAATGACTCATATACTTTTGATCAAGTTCCTCACAAAAATGAGATAAATTTGTCGAATGCATCAAACGATGATCAAGAACCTAGTAAAATTTTGATAGATACTGATTATTCTAATGATCAATTATCTACTAATGAGATTTTCAAGAGATCTGATGAAAATGTTTCACAAGAATCAAACCTTAATGATCTCATGTCTAGTGTCGTTGATCCTTACCATCTAGTCAATTCTAGTGAACTCTCTACTCCATTCGAGAAATATACTTTAAATAGAGTCACACTAACTGTAACTTGGAAATATAAGGATCCAACATTATTTCGTGGGGAAGGATGAAGTCATAAAATTTAAAAATGGATCTCAACACGAAGTCTTCAAAAAAAAGAAGGGGAGGTGATATGATGGAAAGAAAGTCAATTTTCGATCGATTTACTCATTATAAGTTTTATTCAACATTACTTCTGTTTTGATTCAATGTAATGATTACTCAATGTAGTATTCGGTTTTCTTTTCTCGTATGATATTTTATTCTGTATTCTTGTATTTAATTGACATGAACTATGCTCTATAGGTGATTTGTGATAACTCTGAGTATTTTTCATGTATGTGATTTCATTCTAATTATTAATCAAAATGGTTGTATCAATCACTATATATATGTATAAATGAGTGTGTTTTTCGACTAAGGTCGTCGTTGTCATCATAGTGTTTTGGGGCTAATAAAACTTCACTTATACCAGTCTTGTGTTCTTACTTTCGCGTCGTGGGAATTGTGAAAGTCTCTTCGTTCCGAGCATAAGTGATCAGCGATTCCGACATAACAATCAGAGATGACCAGATACAAAAAGTAGTATTCGATTCACAAGTCATAACAACTGGCGACGGGGATTTTGGAAAACATTCACAAGACATAACAAAAGTATATGTATTCAAAAGTCCATTCTCGTTATTTGACTTATTTAATTTCGTTATTGACTAACGGGATTTAAGTTACTGGGATTATATACGAGGATAGGCAATATATATATATATATATATATATATATATATATATATATATATATATATATATTTCGACAACGATCATCCATACAATCTACTTAGAATCAGATCCACGGGCCATCAAAATGCATAGCCCTTCGACGAACATCATCCGATCTAAATGATAACAAAATAAAGGGGCCCCACATATCATAAGATCATTGATATATTATTAAAAGACAAATGATTTCTTATCTCAATTTTATTTTGTATACAATAAGATGTATATGTATAATATGTATTCATACAATAAGAATAGAAAGTCTATTTATTATTATGATTGATTATGCAATCAAATATTTACAATAACAATAAGAATATGAGTAAAATATGATGAGTTATGTAAAACAAAAAGAAAAAAAGAAATATACATTTTAAGGTTTCATTTATACTATTAATATTAATATCAATAGAGAGAGTGTGTGTGTGCGAGAGGGTGAGAGTGGGAGTGAGTAACTGAAGGTAAGGAAGAGTGAGTGATTAAGTAAGAGTGAGAGAGATACAGAGGGAGGGTGAGAGAGTGAATGATATATTAAAAAGGTTTACTACAATATTACCCTGCTTTCTTAAAGTAAAAAAAACAACAACAAAAAACAAAAAAAAAGAAAAAAAAAGGAAAGAGAAAAATTCACAATTTATCGAATCAATACAAATACTGAATGAGAATGATAAGTTTTATCATTTGAATAGTCATTTATTATTTATATCGTTGTTCAGATACAACATAACTAAGTGAAACATGTATAAACAAAAGTTTTGTAATCAGAAAGAGGGTTTCTTTTCTTTGTGTATATGTGTGAGTGTGAGTTTAGTTGGATGTGAATGTGAATGTGTAAATATTATAGTAATTTCAATAGTTAAAATTATGAATCTATTGAAATTAGATCATCATAAAGAAAAACAACAACAACAATAATAATAATAATAATAATAATAACAACATGAAAGTACTGGTTAACTGTTTTGTCCTATTTTAGGACACTTCAACAAACAATACACATTGACAATTTCAACCATGGGTTCGAATCTTACAAGTTGTACTGTACTAGAACAAAATAATCATTCAATATTTATTAAATAGTTCTCTAATACTCTCTAATTCATGATTTCAATTATGGAATTATTATATAATTAATTATATCATCAAAATAATAGAATCATTTACATTTGGTTTATATAACATACATTCAGTTCAATTAAATAATTATTATAATCTATTCCTTTGATAAATTAATTAATGAATAGAATAAAATTTAAAAAAGAAAAGATGTTACGTCATCATTTTTCTTTTTGGTGTAAATTAGGTGTGTGTGTGGGGGGGGGGCAGAAATTAAAGATCATGCCAAAAACACATTTCACCCCCCCACCATAGCAACTAAACAAATAAACAAACTAAGCGTGAATATAATAAAGTAACCAAAGAAATGACTAAGGGAATAACGGTTACTATGGTATATATATATATATATATATGTTCCCTTAATACATGATTCATTATATTCAATGGATATATATGTATATATAGATGTCTATATGAAATGTATTACATACTTATAATATACTTTTATATATAAATAGATTCAATGAAATATGTTAAGAAAAAGAAAAAGAGATGAGGAAATTCGATGTATCGTAAAGTTTTGAATGAACCGCCTGATAATTTTTTTAAATTTATTAAAACAAATATGAGAAAGATATGAAAAATTATTTAAAAGAATATATATATATATATATATATATATATATATATATATATATATATATATATAACCATATGAACTCCTTTCTGGAGCACCTCTGAGTCTACTGCCGGTTCTAATGTCGGATCAAGGAGTAGGTGTGGTTATGAAGTTAGTGACCCCATCTCGTAAAATAATAACACGCTATAAAATACGCTAATCAGAAAAAAAATATATGAAGATGAATGTTCTATAATGATGATAACGGTGATGATGATGACGATAATGAGGAGGAGGAGGAGAAGAAGAAGAAGGACGAGGAGGAGGAGGAGAATGATGATGATCAAGAGAAATGGTTAGTAATAGAATGATTTTGATCTGTTATTGTTTATTGATATATTATGATTACCATTTCTTTTATCTTTATTCAATGGGATCATCAGCTAATAGCATAGCTTTAAGTTGACTATCTTCCATACATCCTTTCATAAATTCTTCACGTGTTAATACACCATCACCATTTTCATCCATTTTTTCAAATATCTCTTCAGCTCTAGCTTCTGGACTAATATCAACAGCTGTATTATCTGTACCAAGCATTGAATAAATAGCCTAAAATAAAGTAAATATATGTATAGTAGTGTTAGGTTTCAATAAACATAATGAATGGTAACTTTTACGATCCATTTATGGACCAATACTAAAAGTATATTTTTATCGTATCATTGTTAAATAACCAAACTATCTGCATATTCCTGTCCCCCTTATTATGAGACTTATTTTGACCTATGAACTATTATTATCCGATATACCATTCTTGAATTATGCCCAGTCTATCAATAACTATCTCCCACATTCACAGCCACACTTAACTAACTCCTGTACAAATGTTGTTTCCTATTTTATGGTACGATATGGTCTGTCTGGTTGGTATGTAAACCGAGTATATTTGAAATACATGATTTATATCGTAGAAGCTGAGATTGGTGTTCTGGACTTAACAGATTGAGCTAGGCTAGGCGGTAAGCAGGATCAAAAAGGACTCTAGACTCCTCGTTCGTACGTGTTTTATGCGTCATTGGTCCGATCGATAATTCACTGCTCTCTAATCGGTCGTCACAAGTTATAACAGGTAGAATATGAAATAGAATTCGAAGTACACTGTAATGATTTCGTTAATCAATCACTTTTTTAATGGTTATTATATAAACCTCAACAAGGTTTGTTATCAGAATGGAATAAGAAGAAACGGTAACTGTAGTTTTATTAGAGGATAACACAGCTATCGGTACATCGAGGGGGGTTTAAAATAGACAGGCAAGCATGAGTATGTATGAAGAAATATATAGGTAAATTTATCGTCAAATCGCATAAAGGCACAGTAAGTCAAAGCAAGGACTAATAATAAGATTCGCGTACCTATATACTTGGAGAAGAGAATGAATGAATGAACGATATTTAAAGGATCAACATTTGAGCTAGAGTCTATTCTATAATCTAGTGTTCATAATAATACAAAGAAATATGCATATTGTCTGTTAAGTAAGTTAATATAAAGGGCTTAACTAAAATGTTAACCATAATCGAAATTGATTGTAGAACAATTACCATGTAATGGATACATACAATAGTGAAGACTTCTACCTTAGTTAAATACTGATCGAATTGTCTAGTTCTCTAAGTTAAATCCCGAGTTCCTAATTTTGGGGAAAATGTGACCGGTTTTGGGGAAATGTTGGGGTTTTTATGCCATTTCCCCCAAAATTCCCCTTTAACCTTGCTGAAAGTCATTTGACTTTGGAGGTTCCCCTGAAATTTCCCCAAACTTGGGAGATTGGGATGTTTTACTTATAGAGCTTTCATTTTCATTATCCTCTAATAAGTGACATCGTCGAGAATGAAAGTTTCTTTTTTAAATTACCTTTTACTTTACTTGTGGAATAAGTAAGAAACTTATTTGGACACAAAAATAGGCAATAATTTCTTTTCCTAGGGTAGAAATGATAGCTCTACGATGAAACCATCTAGCTCAAACATCTCATCGACGCATATACATATACTGCTGAGGAGTCTCATAATACGACGAAAGTGCCGTTTAATGCTCTTAGGTTATCCGTAGTGGCTAAGCTTCAACTGACTAATGAATTCAACTATAGAATCACTAAAATCTTCACAAAACTCTCTTCTCATAATAATCATCATGTGCTTTCAAGAGGTATTTCCTAGAGTTCTGGTGAGAAGCCATGATTAGTGGAGTTCAACTAGGTCTGTTGTGAGATAGTAACTCACGGAAGACAATGGTGGATGGTGGTTCAATTTCGTGGATTATTTGAAGTTAGACATCAATACTGTGAAACCTAGATATGATTGACCACTGAGAGAAGACGAATAGACACTTAACTTGCTCTGGGCCTTACTGTGTGCATAAACTGTTGATGTTTGTATTAAATGAATCTATTATTCCGTCTATACTTTAGCTCTCCTTATATTTAATCAAAAATCATGTGATTAGTGTAATGTGACCCTCGTCTATGTATAACTAATTATTCAAGTATCCAGTTTAGTGACAGTATAATCTCCGATGCAAATCATATATCCCTTGAAGCGGTATTGTGGATGAGCACTGCTGAGGAGTCCAACAATAGGACCAGTCGGACGTTGAGTGCTTCCAGGTTTTCAATGATTATTTATCATTAATCGGTTCATGATCTTCATCAGAAAGCAAATCACATAATCGTATTATCTCAGTAAACGAACAACCATTATACAATAGGATATACGACAATACTAAGCTAAACTAAACCGTTAAGCTTATAACGTATATGTAAATGTTATAGCCATGATTCATTTGTCGAAATACGATTCAGAAATAATATTGGAAATTAGAATTAGGAGTTAGGGTTAACGATATTCATCTAGAAATGGTATCAGTTAAGATGTAAGAATCTTGAAATCCATATTTTTTAGTCAGTCAGTTATCAACAACGTAGAACTTCGTAGGTAATCAAATCGTTTACTGTAGCAGCGATAAAGGTGATAAAGGAATATGAGAAGGGTTAGTCACGAAGATAAGAGAGTTATTAGGTGTAAGAAGGATTTGATTGTGACCAACATGAGGGTTGATGTCAATTCCTAGACTACCCACACCATGAAAGGTTATTTCTTGAAGAATCTAAAAAAGAAGTTGGATTAATGTTGGTCTTAACAACCTGAGAACATGACCGCAGAGCCTAAAGGAAAACTGTTTGAGGCCAGTTGCGGATGGTCTTTTTGTGGGAATTTTTTAACCAGTTAGCACCGTTCTTCAAAATACTTTACCACCGAAGACAGAAATCTATGAGGTAAGATAAAGCGTGACATTTTTAGGGTTGACCTTTTCTAATCCCTTCTATTTCCTTATGAGATGGCAGAATCACTTCAGATGTTGATTACCCGAGAGAAACACATTACTGCTGTCTTATAATTGGTTGAATGAATTAGTAGACAATCTGATATTACTTTCCCCTAACATCTTCTTATCAATAGGAAGAGGAGTATTTTAAAACTAATCTAATAGAATACAATAAATATCTGACAAATGAAGAGGTAAACAAGTTTATTTTAGTTTCCGTCACAGCAATAACCATTGAAATGTATCCTAAGTATAGTGAACAACTTCAAGTTTCTTTATGTTTCTTTTAAACGGATTGTACTTATCCTTTTAGATGTTATATGACTTGTATTTATTTCATTTTAACTTATCTGTTTATATTTCACTGATTGTGAATTACTCAAAAGTACACACATACACACATACACACGCACGCACATACATACATACAAACATCCATAATAGATTTACACTTAAATCAAAACTTGAATCATTCAATCAAAAATCTTTCAATCATAATTTTTTTTTGTAATTTTTATGATTTATGTTTGAGGTAGTCGATTACCCGTTGTCATGGTTACCGATGATAGTCACTTATGCGGAAGAGAGAGAGAGAGAGAGAAAGTGTGAGGTGGAGATAAAATAAAAATATAAATTGTATAATTGCTCTAACTTGATACAATCTAAGCAAGTAGATACCAACCAACTGTTCTCAATTATTTTGTAGTATGATTTTCAACTTTCAGTATATTTTTGTATTGACTGGTCTTAGTGACTAGAATTTTAAAAAAATTTATATGTTGTATCCTGTTATAAGTTGTTAAGGGGGAGAGAGTGAGAGAGAGAGAGAGAGAAAGAGAGAGTGAAAATTGGAGATTTCTATACGGTACAATGAATTAATCAACTAACTTATTAGTTTTAATTGTCATTCAAGAAGCATAGTCTATAACATTCCCTATGTTCCCTACATTCCTATATACACCTATCAATTTATACAGAACAATATCCGGTTCCTGTGAATTCCCATTTATTGTTGTTGTTGTTGTTGTTGATGATGATGATGATGATGATGATGATGATGATGATGTTGATATATTATCCAAGTATTCATTTTACTATTGTATTCACTTCATTCTATATACCATAATATGACAGAAACTTTAGAATATTTAGAAGTTATATGGGTTAATAATGATAATTCTCTATGTGAAGGGGGATATTTGTGTACATTTTAGTAATTGTTGAAATCATGAGTCAATTGAAGCTAGACGATCATTGAAAACGTGGAAGTACTAAAATCTCCACAAAAAACCCCCTTCTCATAATCATCATGATGTGCTTCACTAGTGACTGACTTCAAGAGGTATTTCATGGAGTTCTAGTGAGAAGTAGTGACCAGTGGAGTTCAATCGAGTCAGTTGTGAGATAGTAACTCACTGATGACAATGGTGGATGTGTCGCTCAATTTCGTGGATTAGTTGAATTTAGACATGAACACCGTTGGATGCCGGCCGGCTCAGTGGTCTAGTGGTTAAGTGCTCGCGCGCGAAACCAATAGGTCCTGGGTTCGAGATAGGATCGTGGATGCGCACTGCTAACGATTCCCATAATGGGACGGAACGGCCGTCCAGTGCTTCCAGGTTTTCCATGGTGGTCTAGGTTCAATTGTCTCATGATCTCAACAATTGAAATTCTCTATGTATTTGTAAATGTTATTTTGATTATATTGAATGACATTTTTTTGTTATATTATGTTAGCTACTTGTTAGTAGTGTTGAAATTTATTTTTAAAAAGTTAAATTTGATGGAGTTTTGTTCGATGGGCTAGATTATTTATTTATATGAATATATAAATATTGGTATAAAAGAGGGCACAGAATACTTATGCGCGATACAAATCACTTGATTTGTATGTGTGGGCTGTGATAATGCTCGGGAGCTCAAACCGAAGCGAGTGGTTTTCTTAGGAGGATACATATGGAGCCATCGACTTAAAGGTCTGATCCACAAGGCAGTGGAGTAATGTCAGAAGATTCGCTCCCATGGTAAACGGTGACCAACAATTGGTTCATACACCACTTTTTTTCTCAGGATCCTGAATCCTATGACAATTTATGATCGAAATTCATTTCATTAGAGTTTTTGAACGACTTATCTATCAATCCATCAAGAAACACTGTCTAGTTATAAAACAACTAACAGTACATAGCAATCTAATAGGTTCTGGGCTTGAATCTCGCGGGAGACGAGATCGTGGATGCGCACTGCTGAAGAGTCTGACAATAGGATGAAACAGCCGTCCAGTTCTTCCAGGTTTTCCATGGTGGTCTAGCTTCCATTGGCTTATGCTCTTAACCATTAAAAATCTAATTAACACTCATATGTTGAATTGTCTCTTGTAGTAAAAGAAAACGGTTAAATTTACGTATATATATATATATATATATATATATATATATATATATGCTGGGAGTCGGGCTAGTGTTATGGGTTAGGGTTATCATTCCATAGACCTTACGTCATTAATTGACATTAGTTTTGATGTAATAAGATTAGAGTTGGGTTTTTATTATTAGAATAAAAGTTTTTAATATGAGTTCTAATGTTTACTCTCAGAGCTGTGATTATCTTATTAACATTTGCTCTTTAATTGGTTGAAAACTGACTTTATTCTCTTGTTGAGGACGTTAGATTCCTAGAACTCACTTGGAAAAGAGCCTAAGTTTGTCATTTTATTAAGAAAATTTGAATTTCTTTGTTTTCGCGCCAAAACCGCTCTTTTCACCTTCATGGCGTATTTCCAATTTGAGAGAATCTTAAATGCTATTGGTTTGTTATGTCTTTCAGTATGCTATTTTGTAACTCTCCCCAAGGACGGTTTTGTGCTGCATATATATGTTTTGATTTGTGTCTGTTGTTATCGTTCGTACTTCTGGCTTTTTGTGGAATATACTTCCTCGTTCAGACTTCGATTTTTCTCTCTAGTTAGCGAGGGTGGGATGCAATAGAATAGTTAGTTTATTAGTCTTTGATCACAAGTCCTTGTTCCGTTCACAGTCTATATGAACTCGTAATCGCGTTAAACCTAACATTTCTTATGTTTGTTAGTTGTTATATCCCGGTGGGAACAATGAATGGTAACTGTTAGAATCAATTTCTGTACTAATACTATACATATATTTTTATTGTATAATCGTAAGCTTTATTCCAATCTATGAACTATCATTATAGGACTTACCATTCTTGCGTTATGCCCAATTTATTAATTACAGTCTCTCACATCCACAGCCACTTTTGATTTGATCTTGTACAAATGTTATTATTTTTAATAGTTGAGATCATGAATCAATTAAAACTAGATCACCATGGAAAACCTGAGAGTACTAGATGGCCTATTTTTTCTACTCTGAGACTCTTCAGTATTGCGCATTCACGACCCCATCTCGCGGGATTCGAACCTAGGGCCTGACAATCTCTCACACGAAGGCTTAATCACTAGACCACTGAGCTGACCAGCATCCAATGGTGTGAATGTCTAATTGACTCATGATCTCAACCCCTTGTGACAAATGTTATTTTCTATTTTATTGTGTAATGTAATCTGTTTAGTTTGTAATATAAATTCAATATATTTGAAATTTATGATTCATATCATGGAAGCTGATATTGGTGTTCTAAACTCAACAGACAGGAAGAAGAACCGATAAATACTCTAAACTTGTTCATACTTGTTTTATGCATTACTGATCCAATCGATAAACCATTATTCTCTAATTGACGACATCATTAAATCATACATTGATAAGGAGTACAATCATACAAGTTATAACATTAGTAAATTATAGTTTTAACAAAACACTAACTCAATGTTAAAGTGAACAAAACAACATCAACTTATAAGATGCTTCAATAATTCTTCGACGCATAACGGAAGCTCATGAAGAGCAGACTAGAGAAAATCAGGCTGGTTTTCGACCTGGACGTGATTGTATAGAACAGATATTCACACTACGTCAGGTCCTAGAACATAGACATACATTCAGACGCCCCAAAATGGTAGTATTTCTCGACCTTAAGGCGGTATTTGACTCTGTTGATCGTGAGGTCCTATGACAGTGTTTGTCACTGAAAGGAGTACCAAAGAAGTACATTCACCTTATAAAGGATCTGGTCGAGTGAGAGTTTATGGCGAACTGTCATCAGAACTGATTACCTCAAGTGGTGTTCGTCAGGGCTGTCCACTTTCTCCATTCTTGTTGAACTTTGTCGTTGACGTGCTTTTAGAAATAACACTTTTCACATCTGACTTTCCAGGGGTTGAACTTCTACCGAAAGATTCACTTGTTGACTTAGAGTATGCCGATGACATAGTTCTATTTGATGAAGACGCTGACAAAATGCAGAGTCTGCTGATCATTCTAAGCAAAAATGCAGGTATATTCGGCATGCGATTTTCTCCCTCATAATGCAAGATGTTGCTTCAGGATTGGGTTGCGTCGACACCCGAACTAGTGATAAGCAGTGAAATAGTTGAGCGTGTCAACCGCTTCACTTATCTTGGAAGTCTCATCAGCCCTTGTGGTCTGGTGTGTGACACAATCTCAGCACGGATACAGAAGGCTCGACTAGCTTTTGCCAACATGCGTCATTTATGGCGTAGGCGAGATATCCGTCTATCAATCAAAGAAAGTGTTAACTGCGCAGCAGTTCGTTCCGTCCTACATTATAGCAGTGAAAAATTACCGGTAAGAGTAGAGGATATTCGTAGGTTACTAGTATTCGATCATAGGTGTCTTCGAAACATTGCTCGTACATCCTGGGACCACCGAGTAAGTACCTCAGCTGTTAGGAAACGAGTACTAGTTAAGGATGGCAAATCAATTGATGAAGTAGTGAAACTTCATCAGTTAAGATGGATGGGACATGTATGCCCAACCACCAACTGCCTTGACTTGCGATGTTTTCTAATGTAGGAGTAGATTGGAAGAAAGCTAGGTAAGGCTAAACCAAAACATGGTACAAATCCATAAAGTCACTTACAAATGAACTGAGTCATGTTGTTAGATCCGCAAGATGATAGTAATCGATGGTTAGAGACCCTGAATGATATGGTTCAATATCATTTGTAATGGTGTGCACAAGTGTATCCACTTTTTCTGTTCTCCTATATTCTAATCTTCTACGTTATTATTGACTAACTTAAATAAGACAAAACATTTTTATTACTAATTCTATCAATCTAATACAAAATTACAATATAAACTTACTCTTATAATTTCAATCATTTCAGTTCGTTCTATTGTACCATTACCATCAATATCATACATTTGATAAGCCCATTCTAATTTCTCTTCTGGATCACCACCTGATGTAATATTAATAGCTAATAAAAATTCTTTAAAATCAATTCGTCCAGAATTATCTTTATCAAATGTACGAAATACATGAGTACAAAATTTTTCAGCATTACCATCTGGAAAAAAACCTGAATAAACTTCAATAAATTTTTTTTTACTTAATTGACCTGATGGACAATCACGCTGTTAAAGCAAAAGAGAAAAATAAAACGAGAAAAAAAAAGAAGAAAAAAGAAAAAAAACAAGAAAAGTAATCAATATAACAATAAAAGAGAATATGAGATTGAATAATGTTACCATACATGTTATGAGTGTTGTTAAACGGTATAAGGGTGTCATCTCAATGAGTCAGTAACAATGTGGAACTTTGTTACAGTGGATAGCTAGGATGCAATTAGATGATCTAGACTTTGCAGATGATCTGGCTCTTCTATCGCATACACAACAACAAATGCAGGAAAAGACAACCAGTGTAGCTGCAGCCTCAGCAACAATAGGTCTCAATATACACAAAGGGAAAAGCAAGATTCTTCGATACAACACAACATGTACCAATCCAATCACAATTGACGGAGAAGCTTTGGAAAATGTACAAACCTTTACATATTTGGGCAGTATCATCGATGAACACGGTGGATCTGATGCAGATGTGAAGGCACGGATTAGCAAAGCAAGAGCAGCATATCTACAACTGAAGAACATCTGGAACTCAAAACAATTAGCAACCAACACCAAAGTCAGAATTTTCAATACAAATGTGAAGACAGTTCTACTGTATGGGGCGGAAACCTGGAAAACTACGAAATCCATCGTCCAAAAGATACAGGTGTTTATTAACAGCTGTCTACGCAAAATACTTCAGATCCGCTGGCCGGACACTATAAGCAACAACCTACTATGGGAGAGAACAAATCAGATCCCAGTGGAGGAAGAAATCAGGAAGAAGCGCTGGAAGTGGATAGGACACACATTGAGGAAAGCACCGAACTGCGTCACAAGACAAGCCCTCATATGGAATCCTCAAGGTCAAAGGAGGAGAGGAAGACCAAAGAATACATTACGCCGGGAAATGGAGATAGATATGAGAAAAATGAACAAGAATTGGATGGAACTAGAAAAGAAGTCCCAGGACAGAGTGGGTTGGAGAATGCTGGCCGGCGGCCTATGCTCCATTGGGAGTAACAGGCGTAAGTAATGTGGAACTTTGTACGTACGTACGTACATCAGTTCAAGTTGCTATACCACAATAGCATAGTGATGCAGTTATCAATTCAAATCCTGTAGTAGTAAAGGTAGTGAAAGCATAAGTAGTGATCCGAAAGATTACGGTTTGATGATGTTATTTAAAGAGTATAGTCCAGTGAAATAAATTTGGAAAAAGAAAAAAAAGAAAGGGACATGAAAAATTCAGAAGATTAGAATTTGACAGAACACAAAGAGTGGATGCATCTGCGACATTGCAAACGATTTTGAGCCATGTCACTCAAGGTCTCTAACCATTAGTTGCTATCATCTCGTAGACCCTAAACAGGTAGTCTACACCTACCAAAATATGGCTTAGTCCACTTCTCGATTGTTTACATCGTAGAAAAGTTCTTCTGAAGGTGTTTCATTAATTCCAAACACACCTAGATTGTATGTATTCATTTCTGTAGTAATTTGAATAATTTACTGAATCTTTTATATTCTACAAAATATTCCATATATTTAAATTAATGGTTGTTCTGATTGTTAGAATAGGCATCAGACTCGTGACTTCCGAAGGAACTCGGTTTTCACAATGAGGTATCATAACACTTCTAAATGAAAACATTCTAACTTTCAGGGCACAATTTCAATAGTTTCAATTATTTTTTTTCCTGGCAAGCCCTAACTTGGAATAGTGAAGGGAAGTGGAAAAGAGGAAGGCCAAAAACATATTACGTCGGAAAATAGAAGCAGATATCAGAAAAGGGTAAATAATAACTGAAAAGGATTGCTTAGGACAGGGTTCGATAGAGAGTGCTGGTAGGTTACCTATGCTCCTCCATGAGGAGTAACAGGCGTAAGTAAGTATGTAATGTAATATTTGCTGATGAAATACATTTGATTGTTCCCCACTTGTGTTCTCGTTTATTACATTACCAGCATATTAGTAAATAAACGAGATTCCACAAGAGAATATATTTATTTGTTTATTTGTTATGATAATCGTAAACAATGTATGTATATCAGAAGGGCTGGATGGTGGTTGGAGGTGATCAACCACCATCTAATCTTACAATAGTGCCCGCAGTGTCGAGTCACTTAGACTGGTGGCCACATTGCAACATGGTCGATAGCATTCGATCTGCATTATTAAGGACTAGACAAGCATGACATTGATCACCACCCAGTGATCAATCAATTGTGATATCAGAAGGGCATTTTTGGACATTGTAGTAATTTTATTAGTTCAGATCATGAGTCAATCGAAGCTAGACCACCATGAAAAAACTGGAAGCACTGGAAGCACTTCTAAGGAGTCCTACAATAGGACGAAACGGCAGTTCAGTGCTTTCAGATTTTCCATAGTGGTCTAGCTTCAACTGACTCATGATCTCAACGATTGAAATATATGTATAGTTTATTAAACTGTTTATTAACTTACTACTTATGTAAGTAGTTAAGTCTTGTTAAGCATCAAGAAATGTTAAATAATATATGACTTGTTCATATAATGTAAGAACTGAACTACTATGAATTGAGTTATAATGTTTCTATCACAAATTTATGATTCAGATAATCCCTAATGAAGTTAATCAAGGAAAACTATCTTTGTAGACTATTCTAGAAATAGATGAAACACTCGAATAGATGCATCTACACTTTGTGTTCTCTCTAATTCTAATATTTTGAATTCATTATCTCCCTTCTGAAATTTATTGCATTGGATTATACACCTTGAATAACATCTTCAAACTCTAATCTTTTCGATTACTGCTTGTAGTTTTACTATCTCTACCACTATGAGATTTGAATGGACAATTGTATCTCTGTGCTAATATGGTATGGCAACTTAAACTGATGTACGTATGTACAAAGTTCTAAGTTGTTGCTGACTAACTGACTAAGATAACTGAACAAAAAATAGTATGCTGAAGAGTTCCATACTAGGAAGAAACGGTCATTCACTGCTTCAAGTTTTTCAATGGTGGTCTTGAATGCTCTTAGAGGTATGAGGGTATCTATCACTTCCCGGTTGCCTACACTGTGGAAGGGATCTTCTGGATGTACCTGAAAACGAAATTGGATTAAAGGTGGTCTAAGTGACCTGAAGGCGTGACCGTATTGCACTTGTTAGAAAGGCGTACTTGTATAATTCTTCAGAGAACTGATGCTCCCTGACGGATTCAATCCCGTGTCATCCAGTTTCACAGTCAAAGATGTTATCACTGCGCTATTCGGGCCCCGACTGACTAAATAGCCAAATAGTACAAAACTCGGGTTCAGGGTTTCCTGTTGACTACATCTAACAACCATCTTATTTCAACATAGTGCACATAATGTCGAGTCACCTAACCTAGTGACAACATTGAAACTTGGTCGATATGATTTGATCTACACTAAGAAGGACCTAACATACATGACACTAATCACCATCAAGTGATCAGTCAATTGTAAAAGTTCTTCAAATCTGCTTTTGACACTTTAGTCCTTTCATGTTAATCGATTTTAATTTTCTTTTCTTTTCTTATAGTAACTAATTATTGTTAGATAAGATACAATCTGATTAGCTAATTGACATAGTTTGCTTTTGTCATTGCAACTTTCTTCATCAAGTTCAAGGTAATATTCTCAAATTCTACCTGAAGTTTGTACTGATGATGTCGTTCACAGGAATAATGAAAGATTCATGACTGAACCATTCAGCTCAAAGAACAAAGCTTCATCAAAATTATGTTCTCAATCTCTATTTGCATTGATTGTGTAACAAGTTAGTAATTGTACAAGGTTCGTTAAACCAAATTCAGTGGAGTGAGGTTTGAACTTACTGCCTATTTATTAATTTATTTATTTGGATATAGATATATAACCTACTGTAGGAGAAAACAAACCAGATTCAAGCAGAGGAAGAAATCTGTAAGTGGATAGGATAAATATTGAAGGAAACATCAAACTGAGTCACAAGACAAACCCTCACTTGGAATCCTCAAGGCCAAAGGAGAACAAAAAGACCAAAGAACACATGATGCCGAGAACTAGAGACAGACATGGAGAAGAATGAACAACAATTAAACAGTGTGTTAGAGAATGTTGGTCGGCAGCTTATGGTCCGTTGAGGAGGGGGGTTAACAGGTGTAAGTAGTTAAGTAAGTAAGTAACCATAGTAAAAATGATTACTATGGAATGAATTATTTAAAAATTCAATAATTTATTCCATATTTAATTGTTTATAAACTGTTGCACATTAAAAATTAAACATTAAACTTCCCCCCCACCCCCTCCCACCCTGATTTTTTATTGTTTCTAAAAATAGTATACTAAAAATTGAGAAACCGAAACTGAGTATTACTAGTACTACCAATAATAATAATAATAATAATAATAATAATAATAATAATAATAATAATAACGTTTTGATTCTTTCCTGTTCCACTCAATCTAATATTATGTTGCTAACTCTATATACCCTACGTATAGGTAATATCTACTCTTTCCCACTTGTTTCATTAAACATCAATTCATGCAATTTAAGTATCCATGACTGTTTGTATAAGTAGTTATGTATGTGTGTGTATGTCTCTCTGTGTCCGTGTGCGTGTGTGTGTATGTGAATATGTGGGGATATAAGATATCAATCAGTAGGTTAGGTATATTGTAATATGTCATAATAATAAATGCCATATTCTGTTTTTTTTTCTATTTTTCTATATAGTAACTTATCCACCGGAAATGGTTGCTACTACACTCACTATATACATATATATATAGTAAGATTCCATAACTTACTACTTAGATAAATTGCATAAAGTAGTATATCTAAGTGACATAAATAAAAAACAAACAACATTAATGGGTGAAATATATTGTGTCTCAACAACAACAACAATAACAAAAATCAATAAAACGTACAATTTAGGGAAATTTGTATCATATTAGTAAGACTCAGTAACTAATCTACTCAATTAGAAATTCACTATAATAATAAAATCAGGAAGAAG